CTCGCGCAACGAAGGGATAGGTACGGCCGATGGTACGAATTTTCGTGGTTATCTGCTCGAGACGAGACTTTTATCGGTTGCACGGGTCGCCGAGGCGTGACCGATGACACGGTGGTCGTTTCGTCTCTGAAAACGACGACCGTGCGTTTCTCGGTCGCGTCTTCGCGAACTGAGAAGATCGACGAACACGACGATTTCGCGACGCAACGACCGGGTGCGTTCGCCGCGTGGGACGTTGGTCGCGATCCGCGTGGTACGCGCGCTACGATCCTCGTGCTCGGTATCGAAAGACGCGTTGATATACAGCGACCATGACCTAGACAAAACAGGCGCACTTCCAATCTAGTTTTGTCTATGCGCGATACAGAAGCAACGATAATAGAGTTTTATGTATCTAATCTTGTTCCGGGACCGCAAAATTTAGATAAGTTCGACGGCGAATCGCGATCGCGTTTTAGTCGGAGTCGAACTCTCTGCACGGATAGAACGCATGGAACGCGCGTTCGTTGCCGAAGAACGCCGCAACGATGTCTGTCGAAGAGAGAAACGATTTCCTATGGTCGCGCGGCTATTTCGCGGTGACAGCGAACACGCGTGCACGGTTAAGCGAGCGCGACCACCGAACGACGCAAAGTCGTCGATCGTTTCGGTTCGTTTGCGTTCGCGCGATAAAGTGTTTTGTTTGCGATTCGAGATCGGTGTAAATCCGTGCTTTCGACGATCGTTATTTTTACGCCGCTTTATTGTAATAACGACGGTCGCCGCGATAACGTCCGCGTCGAGTGCATCACACGGCGCAATCTCGACGAAGGACGACTCGACCGGTTCAAAAGGTCGCGCGGATTGTTTTTTTTTATTCCGATCGACGTCGTAGATGCTTCGATTCTCGTAGGCCAACGAGAGAAAAAACTCTAGCGGCTGTTTCTCGCAGCTGCGCCGCCTTTCGTCGTTGCGTCCGTCGCGTCGGCTCGCGTTCGTTTCGAGTTTCGATCGAAGGTTCGTCCGTGGATCCAACGACCACAACCGTGTCGACGACTACGAGCGACGGTGGATGGCGACGTACGTGCGCGGTGGGACGCACGCGGCTCGCATCTCGGAACGCCAGCCAGAGGCTCCGTCTACGGAGAAGAAAGTCGAGTCGAAAGCTTTTTAAGTGGCGTGCGCGCGTGGTTCTTTTGGAAAGCGAGCCGATGCGTGTGCGGTTGCGAGCCGAGCTCGTTACTTTAGCCGAAAGCCGAGGGGAACCAGGAATATGGGGCTTTTAACATACCGCGGATCTCGAGTGGTTTTGGAACGCGCGTCTGCGACGAGTCGAGTCTCGAGGCTCGTCCGCGCGA